AGAAAGTTTTTTCAGTCCATAATTTTTCAGGATGATGGAAGATAATGCAATTATCAATTTCAGCTACTAAATATGCTTTATCCATATAAATATTTTCCATCACCAGTTTTTCTGTAGTCTCTGGGTTCTCTAAAGGTGTTAAACAGTGATAATGGAACATGCTCTAAAATCTGGCATACTATAACTCCTAGGACCCAGTCTCCAGCCCAGATCTGACCCTCTAAATCCCTCTCTCCTCTCAGCCCCACTCCAGACTCTCAACAGCTTATAAGGAAGGTTTTCTTAAAACTGCAGGTGGAGCTGCTAGTTCCTGATGTATCATAGGCAGAAATCAGGCTGTGCACAATTTTCCTGGGCAATTGACTCAGAGCGAAGAGTGATCTTTTTTGAGGCTTGAGAATATCAATATGCAGGCTGCTTTGCTAAATTGCTTTCTGTCTCTCACAGTCAGAGAAATCTGCTTGCCTTGAGCTAGCCTCCAGTTTCTTGTTAAGGGCTAATTTTAGAGCTAATTTAGGTTCCATTAGTATATGGTACTGTTGCAAATCTGACATTAACATTGGCGGCTTGATGAGTAACAAAGGGAGGAACAGCCTTTTACCCTAACTGCAGCAATGCAGGCGCATATGGTGTCATTTTTCAAAGAACAGATTTTTGTCTTTCATGCCATTTCAGAGGCTGTTTCCCTCTGAAATTAATAGCTCTAACTTAATGCAGAACATGTCTGGATGTCATGCAGACATCTAGTTAAACTGAGAGAGCTGGCAGGTCCCACAGATTTGTAAAAACAGTGTTCATTTGCACAGTGTAATGCCTCCCAAGTCCATGCTCAATGAGTGAGAATCAGCAACTAGCAAGTGTGGGGCTCTGCCTTTAAGATGAGAGCCATTTAGTGATCTGTTTCTGAGGTTGGAATTCTGCTTCCACAAACCCTACTGAGGGGAGGTTGGGGCATTCCTCATTTCACCCATGGCCAGCTGATGCTTCCTCTGCTGCCCAGGTGCTTGGGCCCACAGGGCTTTAACTGAGATTCTGAGTGGCAGTGGTGGAGTAGATATGAGACCGATTTATTAATCTGAACTCTGCCCATAGCTAGCTGGATGACTTGTTCCCTATGCTTGTATTGCCTCACTTGTAAAATGAGGGAATTCTGAGGTTCTCTGATATCTAAGCTCAATAGTCTGTAATAGTAACTTGCATTTATCTTTTTACATTTTTCTGAGAATGTTCATATTTATTGTCCTGTGATCATCACAACATCTTGTGAGGTAGGCATTCCTGTCTTACACTTGGGAAATTCTGACTCAGAGAGGCAAGGAAGCTTGCCCAAGGTCACACAGCTGCTAAGAGGGAGAGCTGGGACTTGAACCCAGTTGGCCTCACTCCCAGTTCAGACTTCTCAGAAGTCAACAGACTGAATCAGAAATGAAGTTTGAGTACTATGTCTCATCACCAGGGGCCATCTCAGAGAGCAAATAGCCATGCCCAATAGGTTTACACTATTCAAACCTTTCCAAAGTGGGAAGATTGCACAGTGACTTGGGAAATTATATTGCTCTGGGACATGCAGCATAATGAATGAACACCCAAAGAGGGGCTGACCTGTAATAGAAAAAGCACTAGAAGTGGTTCTAGTCTTGGCTCTGTCTCAAGTTGCTATTGACCTTGAAGAAATCACTTGGCCTCTGAACCTAGATGAGGCAGGTGGAAGAGCAACTCTCCATAGTAACTTCCTTTTGGAGAGGTCTGTGATTCTAGGGCAACAGGTCAATGCCAAAACGAAAGAATACAGCAGCAGTGGTAACCTTTTTGGTTGGGGAGCTACCTCCATGCCCAAGACATTCAAACTCGGAACGAAGTGCTCCAGAAGTTAAAAAGAGAAGCAGTTTACTTCGGTAAGTGACTAGGCAAACACTAAACCAGAGGGCCCACTCAAATCCTACCGGAGCCAGGTGAGTTAATAACGACCAAGGCAGACACATCATGGGACAATAGGGACAGTAGGAATTACAATAAATTGGCAAGCAAGCCTGATCAGAGGGGCAGTGAGCACTCTGCTCCAGGCAAATGTGGCCAGGCAGAAAGTCAGATGTAATGCAAACAATATCCCACCTTTTCCAGAAAACTGGAGATCTGAATATTCATGTGAAATACCCTAATTTTTATACATTGGAAACAATTCCAAAGGCTTAAAAGCCTTTTTATGTCAAACAAAATGTGTCTGCTAGCCATATGGTGCCCAAGAACCCCAGTCTGCTGTTTCTGTGCTGACATCTCCTGAGTCAGTGTCTAGTTTTGCTTTAAACGATTCCAGAGGGCCTGTTTCCTGACCTTGCTTGGGAGCATGCTGCAGTAGTGACCTGCTTGTACCATTTCAAGTCAACAATACTTTGCATCATACAAATCCCATTTTCCTGTCCATGGCCTCTGAGGCTGGACCCCTGACAGGGGCCAGCTTGCACACCCAGTTCCCACCCTGCGTGCCTGCAAATAACCTTCTCCAGAGAGACAAACAACAGTGGAAGGGGAAAAGAGTGGTTTGGGCCTGCCAGTGGAGTAATTCAGATGAGGTTATTTTTTTCCTGCTATTATTTCTACTTCATTGGATCACATAACCATTTTTATTGTTAATTTAGGTACAAATTAATTGCTGTACAAATGAATGAAAACACAGATGAATGCCCTTACCACTGCTTGAAGCTTAAATGGCAATTACTCGGCTTTGTAATCCAATATAGCAAGTATTAGTGCAGCTGTGGTGTGTCCTCTGGCCCAATACACTGCTAATGCAGAGAGTGGATGTCCCTGGAGATTCCTTCACACCCTGGGCAAGCCTGGGAGGAAGGTGTGGCCCACCCCAGAGCCTCTGGGTCTGCCTGTCTCTTCATCCCAAGTGCACCTGAGTAAAGGTGTTAGAGTATTTGATCGTATTTTCATGTACTGTTTTTTCTCTCTGAAGGATTTCTTATCACACCCTGTGATTATGTACTTCTTTTTGTCTTCAGACCCACATGTAAAATATCAATCCTACAAAGCATTTTAGAGAGACTTCTGTTCAGGCAGTACCCACAGACCCCGAGCCATCCTCCATGCTCCTGCAATCCAGTTCTGGATAAAGTGGAGGTTCCTATGGCCAGGATTCTCACCTGGCCCTGGCTGGCTAGCTCACTACACAGGTGTGGGTAGTACATTGTTATTGACTCTATATAAAAAGCTCTGCCCAGTGCTTTGGGTGACATGGTGGCAGGGCTGCAAGATTGCAGGAGAGCAGAACAGAGGCTGGAGTGGTGGCAGCACTGAGGACAGAGACCCAGAGGCAGAGACTGGCTTGCTGTGTGCAGACTCGCTCTGAGTGAACGGGATTTTAGTGACTGACCCGCCACCGTGGAGATAAAGTTGGGTATAACCCCTTCACCCAAAGAATGTTCTACTGTCATTTCTTTCATCATGCTGAATCCTTAGTGAATTTACCCGGGGCTGAACCCCATTGGCAAGACACCAGTACTGGCCTTATTAGGTCCTGAACACTGCTCCGAAATGGCCCAGTTATTTGGCTCAGTCTCCCCACATGGATGACAAGTACCTCGAGAGTAGAGCCAGCACCTTACCTGTTGTAGCACCCCTGCTCAGGAAATGGCATTCATCTGGGCAGCGAGGCTGAGAAACAAGACAAAGTAGTGCCTGCCTATCTTGCCAATGGGTTTCAGCCCTGGGCAAGTTCACTATGGATTCAGTGTGACCAAAGAAATGACAGTAGAACATTATTTGGGTGAAGGGGTTATACCCAACTTTATTTCCACCGTGGCAGGTCAGTCACTAAAATCCTGTTCACTCAGAGAGAGTCTGCATGCAGCAAGCCAGTCTCTGCCTCTGGGCCTTTCTGCCTGCACATCCATCGTCTGGGCCTCTGTCCTTGGAGCTGCCACCACTCCAGCCTCTGCTCTGCTTTCCTGCAGCCTTGCAGCCATGCCACCGTGTCGCCCAGAGCACTGGGCAGGGCTCTTTATATAGAGTCAATAACGATGTACTGCCCACACCTGTGTAGTGAGCTAGCCAACCAGGGCCAGGTGAGAATCCTGGCCACAGGAACCTTCATTTTATCCACATTGCCTTCGCTCTGTCTGCAGCGCCTCCTCAGTGTGTCCTCTCTACATTACCATGCAAGCAATTTCCTCCTGTGTCACAGACTTTTGTAATTTCCTGCCTAATTTTGTCATCCCATGTAACAGGGAAAGTGAAAATATCCATCAAGAAATATCTCCTTGGTTTCCATTTGCCAAATCAATCTCATCTCTCTATTACAAGTAAAATGCAGTTACTTTTTGAGCAAATGAAAAGATACTGTATGAATAATGGGATTGTACTATATACTTTTTTTTTCTTTCAGATAGAAGAAAGTCCCTCAGTGGACAGCAGTCAATACCAGACTGTAGATTAAATTTTAACATTTTTTCTTACACTGGAATCTGTTTTGAAGTTTTTATGTTTTTAGATTCTCACTGCAAAAAACTGAATGTAAAGTGTTCTATTACTGGTTTTCTCTAAACACTATAGCCATTTGAGAGCTTGTTTAGAATTTAGAGAATTTCTGAGTCATTTGCAGGAAATTTTCTTAGTCTGCATACTTTACATTCCAATAGAAAAGCTCTTAACTTTTCATCAAAAGTGTTTAAAACATCGATTTTAAGCCAATCATAATGACATTCTTGTAGTTGTTCTTGATTTCCTTAGGTTAGCTGCATGGGTTTGTGTTCAATGGACTTTGTTTTCAAGTCTTGTACTCTGTACAGAGCCTAGTACAGTGCTTTACACTTGATCTGTTTGTTGAATGACTGAATGGATGAATGAGTAGATGGATTCTTTCATTTCACTCTGTACTAGAGAATTCTTCCTTTGATGATGCTGATAGAACTCATAGATTTAGAATAATAGAATGCCAAAGATAAAATAATGCAGAAATATTCTGGTTCAGCATTTTTTTTTCTTTTTTTACTTTTCAGATTTACAAAGTGAGATTCAGAGAACCTCAAGACCACCTGGAACCCTTAGGAAATTTCACATAATTGTACCAAGTATGAACCTAAGGTAAGCATGGGTTTCCCTGGCAACTGAATATGGGCTTTTTCATTATTTTCTCTTTTCTTTACCTTTGTGCAATTCTCATAAACTAGCTGGGATTCAGAAGTATGTGAAACGATTACTTTATCAAAGCTCTTAAATACTTCTTGAATCTCTTCATTCACTTGTTACTATGAAGTTGTTTGGTATTTGGTGGGTCAGATTCCTCCAGGGGGGTGGGTTACCAATGCAGGGGGAGTGGATCCAACTCTGGGCTCAAGTCAGAGGATGGGTCCCAGGCCCCTGCTATCCTGGTGTGGTTACCAATGCAGGGGGAGTGGATCCAACTCTGGGCTCAAGTCAGAGGATGGGTCCCAGGCCCCTGCTATCCTGGTGTAGATCCTGAAGCAGATCAGGTCCCCAAGCCCTGTTCTCATCCATAAAATAGAGATGATAGCCTGTTTTACCTTTCTCACTGGGGGGTTGGGGGATCCAGTGAGATATTGGATGTGAAAATATTTTCAAAATTGTAAAAAATGCAAGGGGTTAAGACTATTCTCCACTGTGCATGCTAGGGACAGAGTAAACAAGAAAATTCCATGGGGAGAGGGAGGTGGAGGGCAACCCTGAGGTCCTGTCCCTTCCTGCACAAGAACTGTGAAACATGGGACATTAGCCTCCTGAAAGTCAAACCAGTACTCCCAACTTTTTCCAGTATAAGTCCTCCTTTTTATGTTCAAAGTATTTCCCAGACCCATTCCCACATGATAACATTTATACTTTGAGTGTTGATTGAGAAAATACATATTGACAAAAAGCTCTTATGAATCATAACCACTCTTTAAATCACTTATATTTTATTAATTGCTATATCAAAGTAATATTTTTGACAAATATTGATACTAAATTAGAGCAAACTATGTTCATTATTGAACATCCAGAAACTCATGGATTAGCAGCCTTCTCAAAATAATTCCCTCTGTTCTCAGATGCTGAAATTCATACATTAAGCTATAAAATGTAAACATATTGAATGGATCAGAGCCAAGTAATGCAATCATGTTAAATGTACTCTGCACTCAGGCTGAAGTCAGGCTTTACTGATGATACTAACACATCCAAAGAAACAAGGTATTGGCCACCAGAAGACTTGGCTGCTGATGGAAGTCAGAAGAGGCAGTACTACTCTGTGACTGGCAGCACCTTCCCAGTCCTGCCCAAGGGAGACATGCACCACCTAGGGACTCAGTCTCAGGTCCTGGCAGAACAAGTTCTTACGTTCCACTCTAGGCTCAGCTGAGTATCTTTGTTGCCAGCAGAGAGCAGCCAAACATCCTGACTGTTGTTTGGATGAATCTCCTGGCTTTAGATTATATAACCACTGTAAGAGCCTGGGTAAGGAGACCAGCCCAAGCTCTGGCTGATGAGGCAGGCCTCTGAGCTCGACATGGAGGCCTGTGAGCAGCCTTGAGGGGTCACTTTCCCCAGCCTCACTAGGAATGCCTGCTCTTTGTGCGTTGCTGTGAGCCATGATCTCGGCCTTAGCACCACTGACATGTGTGTCCCATGAACCTCTGCTATGGAGGGGGCTTTGGTGAGTCGTAGGGTATTGAGCAGCACCTCTGGTCTTCATATTCTAGATGCCAGGAGCATCCTGTCCCCTGCCCAACTTCCTGAGTGACAACCAAAAATGTCTCCAGACACTGCCGAATATTCCTTGTGGGGAAATATGCAACCCCTCCCCCACCAATGTTGAGAACCATTAGCATGAACCATTCCAGTAAAAAATCTACAAGATGCAACCCTACAAAGTTCTTCTTGAAGACCAACTCATTCCTGACCGTGCAACACATTCGATATATATACAGTGTTGTTTGTGCCCCCAAAGGTGTTAGAATTCTTGAAAAATCAACTTCAAGGAGCTTTTGGTTAATTCAGAAATACAGTCAGACTCCACTTCACTATCATGCAAAGGAAATAGAGATTCTGGCAGCTGAATGAACTGAAACTTGCCTTTGATGACCCCGTGATTCAAGGGAGAGAGCGGGTCATCCTTCTGAGCATCAATTGTTCCTACTGTAGCAGTGTCATAGGGATAGACTGCATTGGCCTAGAAGCTGTTAGCATTTTTGTTATTTTTAAAAATAATTCCTTCATTTTTTTTCCTTATTATTTGCCTCTTTCTCCTGAAAATAGTACAAAAAAGATAGTCCAGTTACCTGAGAAATTCAATTAGTTTTGCGCTAATAAATTGAGAATTTTTCCTAATATGATTCCAGCTTTTTCTAAAGGATTCTCCATTGGAAATTCCTTCATCTGAAGAGAGCATTCCTACCACAGTCAAACTGTTTAGCAGTGTAGGGTCTATCACTGCTCCTACTTACAGAGAAATTTCCACCTGGTTCTGTTCAGGGGTATGGTTTTCTGTCTTTATCCCTACTCCTGGCTCCCAAGACCACCATTCACTGTTCCAGGCCTTAGACGTGCCCAGTGCTGGTGGTGGCTGGGGGTCTACACCACGCTGAGTACACTCCCATCTGCCCCCTTCTTCCCCTGGCCCTTTCCCAACTCCAAAGACTCAGGTGTCCACTCCTCCTGTCCAGGCCAAGCTGCCTCTTCCTGCTCCTCCAGTTTTGTCTGGTCTTTGGGAGAGGAAAATCTGGTTTGGCCAGCACACTCTGAGCCTTCGTGTCTGTGCCCTGGCTCTGTAGTTTCTGTGAGAGTGAGTTTCTGATCGGTGTGGACTGGGAAGCCCTTGGGTCCCAGTAAGGAAGTAGAATGAAAGGGAAACACACAGATTAAGTCTTGGAGAAATAATTGTCTTGTGTCTTACCTAGTATGTGAAACAGAAATGAAGACAGAAAGGGGTAAGGATCAAGGCACCCCTGGCCAGGAGGCCTCTTCCATTGTGAGCTACTACTGAGGCACACAGCATCTCAGGATGGCTGGGGCTGTGAATGCCATCTTTTAGTCTTTTCCTGCTGGGGAAAAGAGAAAAAACCCTGCTTAGCTCTTTAGCCATAGTATTAAGGAGAGCCCCTCTTTTGAGGCTCTGAGATATAAAGGTAGAGGTTCTGAGTTTGAGACCCTGCAGATCACCCCTGCCAACGGGAGGCCTTCTGGGAGGAGCACTGGTTGCCCCCAACTCAAGGAGACCCCTCTGATGAGCAAACAGAAAAGCCCATTGCAATGGCAGCTGTTTCCCACCCTGCCATGGCCTCCAATGACAAGCAGGAGGGGAGGGGAAGCTGGTCTTACTGTGGTGAAGGCGGCAATATAAACGCTTGCCTTAGAGGTGCCATTGTTTCTCCAGCAGGGTGGGCTGGGTGCTGGTGAAGCAGCTGCTTCTAGCCCCTGGGATACACAGAAAAGCCCCATCCAGGGTGAAGCACGGTGGTATTTCAGCTTCCACCCAGCTGCTCAGCTGGGTGACTTTGGAAGAGCACAGACCTGTACAGCCTTTCCTGCTGCAGCCTGGCTCTCCAACATACAAAGTGCCTTCCCCCAGTGAGAAGTAAGGGGACCAAATTTATTAAGCCTACTGGGTGCCAGATACTACATATAATCATGTGAAGCAGGCATTTTTATCCCCATTTTACAGATGAGGTAGCTAAGGATTAGCAAGGTTAAGCAACTTGCCTGAAGTCACCAAGCTAGGAAGACTTTGTGAGTCTTCACAGAAAGGGACTGAACTGGAGGCTCTACACATGGCCTACGGTACACACTACAGCTCTCCCTGAGAAGTCCTGCATGAGCAGGGTCCCAGGCAACAAAAGAACAGGAATCACTACTGAGAACATGACAGACTGTACCTGCCTCATCAGGCAGGAATGCAGGAAAGGGCTTCACCTGGGAAGGTCTCTTACAGCAGTTCTCAAAGTGGAACAGAACCAGCCACATGGCATCTCCAGAGAAAAATCACCACTCTTCAGAAATGCAAATTTTTTGAGATTAAAAAAATCTCAAGTCTGCTTCTCATCTGTAATTCTATGGTGACCATCTTGATTTTTCAGTTGGCATTCTGAGCAATAAAATGGCTTGAGGACCAGTCAGGGGCATTAAAGGAATGCCGAGAGGGAGGTTAGCGGCAGCTAGAAAGAAAAGACCATGCTCCCTGATTCTGTAGGAAGAAAGTGGAGGGACCACCAGGGCAAAAGGTGGGTCTGTGGTGGGGTGGGGGGAGTTCTCTGCAGGAGGCTTTGTGTGTTGACCTCTGCCCAAGTCCTGCAGGACTTAGCATGAAGAGCTGTGCTGAGCCCTGCATCCGGTCGGAAGTACAGGTCTGGAGCTCCTGGCTGGGGATGCTGCAGCTGTTCTGGGGATCTGCACAATTAGAATTCTCCTAGCGCTCAGGGCCCACAGGAATCCAGTCACGTGGTAGACGTGGTGCCTGGCGCTGGGGTCAACGAGAGTCAGTCTGAAAGAAAAAGCGTTCTTTCCCTCTGAGACATATCCTGCTTCAGCTGTGCACTGCTGGGCTTTTACTCACAGTAAACCTAACCACTTGCAGGAAAAAGAGCCTGTAAATAATCTACACTAAATTTCTGGGCCTCGCCAGGGAGCTCTCCGGTGCATGGGTGGTGAGCGCGGGACAAAGGGAATCACTTTTCCTTCTGATCGTATTTTGCCAGCCTGCTGTTTCTATCAGAGGCTCTTTCTTGATAACTCCTCCTCCTTTAATTTGTTTTCCTCTCTTCCACAATGCTGACTTCTCTCCAAACATGCTGGGATTTAGTTCCTGGATAATTTTAGAGCTACAGCTTTAGAGAGATCACTCCTCTCTTATCCTGCCTGCCCCACCTTTGCCAAGAACATGCGATTTTAATTAAGAGGGCAAAAGCTTTCATTAGAATTTCCTGAATCAAGAAGTAGCTTTGCTATTTCTGGGTTTGGGGGTAATGAAGAAGGACCAGATTTCCTTATCTTCTACTTCCTCTCACTCTCCTGGTGGGAATGCATTTCCTAGCCATTTATGCTCACATCTATGATGTAACTCTCCTAGACACTCTCCCTCCAACCCACTCAAC